AACAAGGCCCTCCTAGGTAAGCGGTGATCAGGCATCCGTATCACGTGCCCGAGGCAACGCAACTTATTCAGTGCTATCTGTTGTTCTAGGGAGCTAGCATGATTATCACTTTCTAGTACTCGTCTACGCACATCATCGTTGCGGACACACTGGTGCCATCCAACACCAGCAATGCTTCGCAGACGACGATGATCAAAGACTTGAAGGCGCCTCAGATCTTCAAACCGAAGGGGCCAAGTCTCACTCCCAGAGAGCAGAACGGCCCTCACTGTGGCCTTGTATACCCGGCCTTTAAGACGGAGGGAAAACTCCCTTCTGTCGCCAAAGATGCCGCAGATTCAAGAAAGTAGATCTGGCTTTTGCAATGCGTGAGCTGACGTCACTTTCTATGCGCCCATCATTGCTGATGCATCTGCCAAGATAAGTGAAATTATCAGCCACCTCGAGTTCCTCGTTAGCAAGTGTCAAGGGGTCATCAAGTGGCTGGTAGTCCTGCAGCAACACTTTGCACTTTGAAGGTGCGAAGTGCATACCAAGTAATGGGACCACTCTGGACAGGCTATTCAGGGTTGATTGGGACGCCACAACGTCGTCGAAAAGCAAGACGATATCGTCCGCATAATCTAGATCAAGTAATCTTTCACCAGGCAGCACTTCAACACCTACATCGTGAGATTCCGCAAGGGAACACGCCATGATAGAATCCACGACGAAATTGAACAAAAATGGGGAAATCGGACAACCCTGACGAACGCTACTTCTTGTCGGAAAGCTATCCGAGAGGACACCGTAGACCCTGACGCGGCCTGTAGTGTTGGAGTATAGAGCACGAAGGATGTTCACATATTTCGTGGGAACACCTTTCCGCGCAAGTATTTCGAATAGAAGCGATCGATCGACTGAATCGAACGCACTCTCGAAATCGAGGAACACAGCCATTGTCGATCTGCGGTATGCGTGGCGCTGTTCTAGTACCTGCTGTAAAGTGAATATATGGTCTATACAGCCACGTCCTGGGCGGAAACCTGCCTGCTTTTCCCTAATCCGAGATTCCCGTTCCGCAGTGAGGCGACGAACGAGAATCGACGCCAGTAGTTTTGTCACAACTGGAGTCAGGCTAATACCCCTGTAGTTAGAACAGCTTGTGTGACTGCCCTTCTTGTATATTGCCACTATAATCAATTTGCTCCAAGTAGCCGGGACACTTCCTTCCAGATACGTACGAATAAGGTCAGTGCTTTGAAGAGGACCTCACCTCCATCCTTAAATAGTGCAGGTGGGAGGGAATCCGAGCCGGCGGCACGGAAACGATTAAGGGCTGTGATCGCGTTTCGGTCCCCGGCCTCCAACGGAGGCGCTAAAGTAACCATCCATGGCTCGTCCTGCATTATCTGAGTAGGAAGAGGTCCGGGAGCAGGAGGCCAGCTGAACTGATCTTGAAAGTGTTCCGCCCAACGAGCTATACGGCGCACCTTATTGTGTATCAGTGCACCCGCGCTGTCTCTGTTTGTCTCACTGACGCCTGGTTTTCTGTGACCAGTGGTGCGGATCAGCTGAAAGAGCTTGCAGTAATTGTTTACTTCTCTTGCCTCCTCCATTACTTGAGCCCCGCTGGTCCACCAGGCTTCCATGTCAGCGCGCAGGCTTCACTTTAGTGCGCGCCTAATAGTCCGTCTGATCACACTTTGCTCAGAGCCAGCTGGGAGGTTTCTTCTGCATTTCAATAGGTTCACCGACCTCTCGGACATCCATTGAGCGGTCCGGTGACGATTGATAGTGCCGCAAGCAGATGCTGTGGCGTATTACATGGACGACGAGATCATATTCCATGGAAGCCCAGTGTCATTCAGTCGAGATAGAGAGTTTGGTAAGCAGGGCACCCTGATAGCCTTGCCTGATCAGGGGCTGAGATAAGTTCTCAATCGTCAATCGAGGGAGACGCTTGGTATGCCTCTCGGTATAGTTCATGGAGAAACGACAGCGTACCAGGGCATGATCAGAGTCGACACAGGTACTCCAGTATGAGCGGCAATCCAGGATGGAACCACGCCATCTGTAACCTATGGCTAGGTGGTAAATTTGGGTCCATTGTTGGCCAGCTACAGAAGGACGCCAAGTGGCACTTCGGCGCCCACTGTCTGAAGGCAGTGCTACTAAGAAACAACTGGTACTCCGCACATAGTTGCAGCAAACGCTCACCGTTGTCAGTCCGTTCGGAGTTAAGCCCACAAGTACCACCCAGCTGAGCTTCTGAAGAGCTCAGACGCCCTACTTGTGCGTTCATATCCCCGGCAAGTACTATAATATCTGAACTAGTAGCACTGCGTAGTAGCGCGTTCGGTTCATGATAGAATGTGTCCTTGACAGCATTAGAACTGCAGTCGGTGGGAGCATAAGCGGAAATCACAAACAAACAGCGTTTTTTACTACTTCGTGAATCAACCTTACCTCATGTCGTCAAACGGGCTGCATATAAACGGCTGTTCACCGGAATCCAATCAACCAACGATGGCTCAGCCTTAGAGTTTAGAATGATACCTTCGCCAGCTTGACCCGTGAGTGCTGCATCAGCGTCTCCGGATGCGTGTAAACAGCATGGCACGCCAAAAAATCGAGTTACAGCGTAGTACTCAAGTTTGTCCATGTTCGTCCAATACTGGAATACGGCCTACCTACAATACACCCACTCACGAAATTAGAATGTGAGTCTATTGAGAAGGTGCAGAGGCGCGTATCCAAGTCTGTGTCTATGCTACGTGTTTTACCTTATCCCCTTCGTATAAAGTTATTTACTCTGAACTATCGCCGTTGGCGTAGTGATCTGATTTATACTAGACGCATTTTAAGGGGCGATTTGGGGAAGGAGGTGCTGCATTTCTTCCAGCTCACCAGAGATTGTTCAAAACGAGGCCACAGCTTGAAACTTTTAAACTTCGGAGGAACCATGTCCGGTCCGATCTCGCGTTATCCACACGGGTTGTGAAGGAGTGGAACAATCTCCCTGAATGTGTGGTAAATGCCCAGACATGAATGTTTTAAAGAACGATTGGACAAGTAGATTCAGATTCAGATTCAGATGGACTGGAACGATAGGAAAATCCCTTGAGTGTTCCTTCTTGAGTAAATCGTTGAGCCAGGAAATGATAAGGTGTTAGTTCTTGATAGATCTAAAACAAAACACCCGAAACACACCCTGATCAACCAACTACTGCCCACGTTCCCTGCACTAGCAGTCCGCGCTGTGTAGGTTACGTGAAGTAAGAAAGAAATAGAAAGTAAATGGAAGATAAAGGGTAATGAAAGTCATTAAAATGAAGGATAACACCAAAGAGTGAAGATAATGACAGAATAAGAACTGAAAGTTTGAAGATGGATATGGTCAGGAGAAGGGAAAGGTTTCGTGTTGCCACCCAAGAGCGTCTAACTGACGCTCGAAACCCTTAACCGTAGGTTCACTGACTACATTTTCTGGAAGCGAGTTCCAGCGCTCGATAACTCTACGCGATAACCGAGTTTCCGCCCTGATCCCGTCAGAACGCGGCTTGTGTAGCTTCATGGGCAAAACTCCCACATTCTTGCAAATTTTAAGGACAGATGGCTTCAACCGGCATTCACGAAGTATTATTATTATTATTATTATCATCATCAGCATTATCATCATCCTCATTCAACACTTGACCAATGTACAGTTGGCATTGCTACAACACATAGTTAACAACATAAAGGGGGGAAAGCAGGTAGTCAGTGAAAGAAATTGGAAAGTTTAGAAGGTTAATGTGTTATGCGGAGAGAGATCTTCCCGGTTGCCCAGGCCGAGGAAGAGGGTTGACTTAAGGGACCCGGTCTCAAGACCTAACCCGCAAGGCAGCGGGGCGATTAACGAAGACCGTTAGCATCCGGTGGCTCCTTCGCCTTCTTTGTGTTCAGCAGCAGTCACAGAGAAGCCGGTGGCCATCAAAGTTGTTCATCCGCTCTCTGTTATATACCCACCTCAGGAAAGCACGTAGTTTGGAACGCCTATGAGTCCCGAGGACGGACCTACTTGCCTTAATGATCAGATGAGATGATTGTGAGATGGCTTTGTACACTCGGCAATCAAATCCGAGCAACGTGCTCTTTTGACGTATCCACAAGTGGCGATTTGAGAACAACGTTCGTCTCGAAGTAAGCAAGAACTTGACACTATCTATCGTAGTGCTCTGTGAAAATGGTTGAAAAAGCTGGCTTTTATTGGACTCGGATGACGCCACGAAACGGAGCTATCAGTCTGCACTAGCGTTCGCGGTGGAATACACTGATGGTCTGTTCAAAACCCAACCATCTAGTGCGGTTTTTGGCGACGGAGAAGACAACAATCCGTGGCCAGCAATTCGTGTACGGCTGTCCAGTAACTTGTGAGGCGCGTTGGTGACATCGTGAGTCAACTACGAGGGGAATCGCGGCTGTTTCGTCTAAGCAGGCCTCCAAACCTCTAGTAACTATCAGAAGAATGGTATGTTCACAAGAATGATCCGAAAAGACCTATGGTTTGGTCTGGTTAATGGCACTGAGAACGTTGAGGAACTAAATTTAAGGCATCATAAGCATCAGCAGTACACCGGTATGCAGTATCAACACTTCGCTGTCACGTGACTATCAACAGTTGCACGTGGGTTAAGGATACTGCGAGAATCGTCCGACCCCTATGTAGGCTCGGGCCCGCGCTCTCGAATTACAGGGCAGGCTTGTGATCCTTAAGGCTACGGGTCGGCGAGGAATTAAACGTACCACAAGCGACTAGGTAGTAAGAGATCATCGTAGTGAGAAAAAAAGAAACGCACCGTAGATATCATTTGCTGTCATGTGCCTGATTGTCACCGCGTTGGAACGCAATACGTACTGCCTCTTGGAGCTTGCGAGAGAATGACCTAAGTGGGAAGCAATATGTGAAGGCGCATTGCCAAATGCCAGAACAGCAAACGGTAAAGTACACTGAAAACCATGGGGAACAAAACCCAGAATTAAAGCAAAGAACTCACGAGACCGGCCGCTGCTTTGTGCGCAGGTGAGATGCTCAGGTCTGCAGCCTTCACCTCCCACACTTGAACAGGTTCGAACCAATGGTCTGGTACCAGGGTAGAGTCGTATCGATAGTATGGCTTGGCGTTGGGGACCACGTGATTTTTGAAAAAGTCCGAAAAATTGGCGAGGTCTTCGTCTTTCATGCCAGTACCAATCTGAAAGTAGGAAGAGATGTCCCATCCGACAGAGTGAACAACATGTAGGTTCGAATTATATATATATATATATATATATATATATATATATATATATATATATATATATATATATATATAACTGCCAATAACATTACAATTGGCTGAGTGCCACAACACACGAGAGAAAAACAGCAGATTGTAAAGGAAATCGACAGTTAGAGAAGTAGAGTCTCACAACAAGTGCGCCATTGCGTACGGTCCTTCGCTATATCCAGTAACGTTTGCAACCTGATGTGCTCGCGATCGTTTGGTCCCCAACTCGGGATTCAGGAATGCTTAGCAACAGCCAGTTTCATAATTAGGGTTTAACGCATTGGATCCAGGTTTTACATTGGTATACTTGGGTTCCTTCCAACCCACGCCTGCGCTCGCAAATAGGGTACATTGTGGTAGCCGCTGGATAGGCATGCAAAACACGTGCGCAAGCCACCGAAGCCTCTGCAGGGAAATGATGCTGTTAATTGGTCGGCAGAGTTTATCAGATTTTAAGAGTCGCCGACGAATCTCATTATTGCTGACGTGACGCTGTCAATGAACACTAGCAATGCTCCACAGACAGTAGTAATCGAAGACAGATAGCCGCTGAATATCATTTTTGCGAAAAGGACAAGTCTCGCAGTCAGTCAGCAGAACCTCTCGCACCGCAGAATTACGGAGTCGGCCCATCAGAGTGCGACTGACGTTACGACTTCGCCACATGTGATGTAGACTAGCAAAAGCGACACTAGCTTTGGAGATACGCAAGGAAAGCTCATCTGTCAAACCGCCATTATTGAGGCAACTCTCAAGGTAAATGAATTGGTATACCAATTCCAGCAGATGCTTCGAAAGGGTGAGAGAAGGAGATGCAACTGGACAGTCCTGTAGCCTAAGTAGTATGTTACTTAGGCTAGAGATGTCCATCTCCAGAGTTAGGTTCACTTCTGTCCGTTCCAAGTGCATCGCTTCTCTCACCCATTCGGTGCATCCGTTTTAAGTGGAAGGATTCACAAATCACAGTGATGTCATCTGCGTACTCCAAGTCTCGAAGACGGTCACCTAACAGTAGTTCGACGAAGTAGGACCGGCGCCCACGGCAGTCTCCAGGATCTCGTCCTTGGCGAAGCTGAACAAGGGAGAGGCCGGGCAACCCTATGTAACACCACTAGCGATACTGAAGGGGCGAAAAGTCTCCGTATGCTCGCACGCGGAAGGAGGTTTGACGGCAACTGGCACATATAATGCTAATGTACTACCAAGATGCTCCCCTCTTAAGTAAGAAATCCCAGAGCCACTCGGTCTACAGAGTCAAACGCGGCTCGAATGCACAATACTATAACTATAGTTGGTCGACTGAACGTATGGCGTCTTTCAAATATCGCGGATCGTCAAGATGTGATCGACGCAGCTGCGACCAGGGCGAAATCCAGCTAGTGCTTCACGCATCTGCTGTTCCCGTACGCAACTGAGCCTCCGCAAGAGTAGGGCAGCGAGCAGTTCGGACGCAACCCAAACGAGACTGATCCTACAATGATGGGAGCAAATGGTTCGGTTTAGTTTTTATACACAAGTACGACACCCGGTGATAGCCAGTCGGATGGGATGGTTTCGGTAGTCAAATCTGACGGAAGAGAAATATCAGTTCCAGGATGATGACAAAAACCCGAAGTTGAAAGAGCGCCGGTGGAAGTTTACCTAGGGCAGGTGACTTGTGGCGCTTTAGTAGGCGAAGCTCATAGAAAGCCTCAGCCGCAGTCAGTGGAGAATCACCTACGCATCCGCGAGCATTGTGAATCCAGGAAGGTGGGCTCATTGGTGCTGATGGTCAGTTGAACTGATCTACGAAAAACTCTGCCCATCGTGCCAGACGACGGCGACGACAGTGAATTAGTTCGAAGCCGTTTTCACGCCAAACCTCACTCATTGTCAGTCTTCTGTCTCCCGTGGACCGAATCAGTTGGAAACGTTTGCGGGAGTTTTCTGAAGCTGCCCGCTCCATCTCAACGATGAGTTGCGTCCACCAAATGTCGCGATTCTTCCTGAGAGCTGTTTAAGCGCAGCATCTGTGGTTCTGTACAGTAAGTTGTACACAACACCAGCGAGAATTGCTCGACGGGTTTCCATTAAATGGAGAGACTGTGCGGAGATTCTAAGGTTAGCAACTAGTCTAGTGAAACTACAGGCTAAGGTAGCGGACTTTTGTAAGGCGCTTTGAATCTGCGCTCAGTGTGTCTCAACGTCAGAGAATAGAAGATGCAAGTTAGTCGCAAGAGTTCTGAAATGTACCGAGAACATTTGAGGCGGTGAACTTGTCTGTGGTGACGCTGTTGGGTGCCAAAAAAGTGCAGGACGACCTTAACATACACGAGCACATGATCCGAAATCTAGTAAGTGTTCCAAATTGGCTTACAGTCTGTTATGCAGCCTCGCCAACAGTAACTGATAGCGATGAGCTTAATTTGCATCCACGCTTGAGTAGGAGCAGTAGGTCACCAGGTGACACGCTAGCATCAAGAATGCCAGGAATTGGTCCCCGTAAGGAACGGACAGTGGTCAGCACACAATTGAAGGAGACGATCGCCAGTGTCTGTAATGTAAGTACCATGGCCGCGTTGACCATCAGGTTTGCCTACATGAACCTCTAGTCTACCAACCTGTGCATTTAGGTCTCCAGAGAGCACCTCGATGTCCGTGCGGCGTTTCTTGCTGCAGAGATAGGTGAAATGGCAGTAGAACTCATCTTTAGCTGTATCCAGGCTGCAGTCTGGGGGAGCGTACGCCGTAATAATGAATAAGTGGTGACTACCGGTGCCGAGGCCAGAAGATCGCACTGAACCTTCCAATCAGAGTGCATAGAGATAGCTCTTCTCTGGGAATCAGTCAGTGAGCGTTGACTCAATATCTGCGGTTAGTGCAACTCATACGCCGAAGCAGCCAGTAGTGACAGCTGTCGTGTCGCCAGATAAGTGCAAAGTGAATGTGCAACCGGAACCTGGGGATTGAAGGAGCAGTCGCAGTATCGTGCTGCCAGAGTCCTGTAAACAGGTTTCGGTTAGGCAGTAAGCATGGATGATGCGCGCAAGAGCAGCTTGTGGTCAAACCAGCATAAAGGTTCGAACGTTGAACGTTGCCAGCTTGATTTCGAGAAAGGAAAGAGAAACCAGCCTTCGAAAGCAGGTACTGATTACCAATAACCAACATTTCCATCATCAGCATTACACCTTGGTTGAAGATTGGAAACATCGCAGCTGTTGTAAGCACAGCACCAAAAGAGAGATTTATGAAAAAGAAATAAGTAAAATTTTGCGGAATAACAGATTAAAAGCAAAAAGCAACATAATCCTAAGCAGCATTTTACTCATGGAGTGTAAGATCGTGATTGGAGAGGGAAGATAAGAGGAATGGGGAAGGATGAAGAAAACGGTAACAGAAACGCCAAGTCAACTAGCGTATCCAACGACAAGCGTTCATCATCCTTCGGACCTCAGTCCGGAAGACATCAACCGACGCTAACTTGGAAAGGAGGGCCTTCATTTCCTTTGACCAGCCCTCGGAGCCTGGTGCGTGAATCAGTTCCCTCGCTCTACCTGCATTAAATATTCGACGCCGAACAAGCTCATTGTTCACAAAGTGTTCCCATCAGACGTGAGGTAAGCTGCGAAGGCATCATCATTATCAACAACAGCAGTACATCAGCCATCTGTAGTGAATCTTTGCAACCTTACAACTACAACGACTTGAGGAACGAGAAACAATAAGAGAGAAGTGGGATTTGCCGAAAATCCTCCAGAAACCTTGTCAAGAACATACCATCACAAAAAGCTGGCTATCGTGTAAAGAGAAGACGGCATTAGCGAAACAGCTTCCTTGCGGCTTTCACTGTCCCGTGCCATAATCAGTCATTATCCCGAAGATAACTCAGCGCCAAACACACTTTAAACAGTCTAGAACGATGTTCTTCCGTAAGACAATAGGTGTGCTGAACCACTACTAAAGGATACAGTGGGTCGACCCCTATTGTGTTAACCGGCCAATGCAACGGCCCGCTACAAACAACGTTACACTCACTTTACAAATGGTCTGATAGTCCTCGCTGCTAGAATCGTAGCAAGCGAGGAGAAATCCACCATATCGGCCTGCGCGTTTGCCTGTCCCATGGAAACCACCGATCACAACCAGATCAAGCGTGTCTCCGACGCTGTCCAAGTAATCTTTCTTCAACTTCAGCCAATTGTGCGATCGCTTCGCAATTTCGTAGGTCGAATTGCGATCCAGGGTTTTCACCATCAAGCCCTCGCAGTTACCTGCAGCAAGAATAGAACAAGTAGACTCCGGTTTATTAAAATCTATTTGGCCAACTACCCATGTGCGACTGAGTCATTCGCGTGGAGCAATACGTTTCCACAAATAGGGATCGGTACAGAACAAGGCACATAATATAGACCAAGTGAACAGCTGACTGCTGGGGGAAAAACACCAGGCGGCACTAGATTGCAAGCCTCCCTACACAACTAGATCGACGAGATAATGGCGTCGTCAGTTTGAGTACATAACACCTATCGATCTGTGTGTGTGCGTGCAAGACAGCGACTAACTATCTGCTGTCTAACCATTGACCTACATCTGAAGCAATCACCGTGCAGTTTCCTTCGTATTTTAACCTTATATGATTTGTACCGGCCCGTAGGTGAATCACTGAAAACAATTGTTTGCCTCAGACTAGTGTTCTAGATAATGGTAATTTGAAACAGGGTAAACAGCAAGAGTAAAAGTGGAACTGTGTAGAAGGAGCTTTAATCAAAAGGATATTTTATTGATTGCTTGATTGTCGATAGCTCCCAGGTTACAATTCAGCTGGAAAAGCAATGGAATGCCGGTTCGTTTAGATTCAACAAGAGTGCACACTCCCAAATTTCATCAGGAGCTGAACCCATGATCCTTCAATTCCAGTGGATGCGTGGGAGCCTATCTAGCCGGGAGCTGATTGCGACGACCAAGCTATTAAATACATCAAAAATTCTGCTGCTCATTAGTGAGCACATGGGTGTCTTCGAATACCGGAAATTCGACGGAGCAGGTAGCATCAAATGACATCGCAGGAAGAACAAGAGAAATCAGCAGCATTTTTTGAAAAAAAGACAGATTGAAAGGCGCAATAGAATGCAAAGAGAACACTATAAATAGGAATGAAAATCGAAAGGCAACCAGATGGGGATAATGGGCTCGACATCCCAATGGCTTCGCAATTGTGTTATGTTAGAATGAGGTTAAAATAACTGGGTTGAGTGGTTCCGTGAGACCCATTCCATGAAACGGCATCTGCCCGTATTACAAAGGCTGTACGCCAGTTACGATAAGTATCGCTATATAATCATCCAAGAAACTTTAAGAGTCGCACAATCCCACTTCGTCTCGGCAAAGTATATACGTAGAGTTCGCCAAAAACACTTATGGAGAATGGACATGGCGGAATATCCCTGCTTGTGTCCGAGAACGCAGCAGTACCGTGTGGAAGCAAATTCGCAACCTATGGACGGATCCGACGAAGTCAATCCTTACGGAGCTCTAACAAAAATCACTGGAGAGAATGGAATAGACCTTGATATATTATGCTTACCCTTGACGGATTCATCGAGGAAGGCGGCTATTTCGTCTGTATCAGAGGAATCGATTGAGGTGGCCCACATGAACTCGCCGTGAATTTGCGGAAACACTTCGCTAATACGTAAAAATAAAACAGGAAAAGTTGGCAAATTTAGGGTATGACAAAGAATGAGCGGATCAGTCCGTTATGAGATACAATGTGCTTCAAGTGAATACAATCCGATTGCAAAGTCTCAAAAGCCCGAAACGTGTTTCCAAGCAGCATTGCACAGTACCGATGCTCACGAACGTCGCTGCTGACAGTGCGAAGCCCGGTTCAACTGCTTCCCAAGCAAGAAAACAAACGTGGCGAAAACTTCAGTGGATCACTCGTTGCAATCGCGTTCTTAATATATTTGACGGCATCCGGTTCCGGATTTGCTTGTCACTGTGGTTTCGATAAGAGTCACAGGGGGCCTGCACCTACAGAGAAACCATGGGTGACTTGCGCTTCAGCAAGCATAGCTCCATCCACACACCCCATATCCAGTATAAACCCGAAGGAAGAAGAACGGGAGGCATGCAGATGGGAGCCAGTTTTCATCAACGGAGTCGACCCAACCTCTTTCAACATGCACAGCAGTAGCATTCCCGTTTAGATTATGATGACAGTCATGAGTGCCAGACGTAGGTGTGGCTAGGTCGTAGTCCGCTCCACACTGGATCGAACCACCCTTTGAGTCTAGAACGGCCACAAGGACCATGCACCCCCCTCACTGCCGCCCCAGCAACGATTTACAATCTATAAGAACCACGAGATCGTTTGGTGAACAATTGCTTTCAATGATTCATCTTCAGAACATTGCAATCATATATAGGGCTAAAAAGAGTAAAATCGACCCAGCTAGTACAAGTAACATGGACAAAAAATCGAAACAAGTTAATTACATGTTACGGAGATTGACCTCAGCATCATCGGTTTTCGCGATCCAGGAAAGCTGTAGAACCTGTACTGGTTTCTTCTGCGAGCATAAGGACGGTTAAACTAATCAAATTCAGGTGAAACAGTGCCGCATTTGTAAAGATGACAGAATGAATGGTCCCATGACATAGAAACTAGCGGCAAAATTCATGCCACATCTCAGGATCGCATGGGTTCAACACCTGCGCTTGACGTGCACTAAATCTTTGAAATTTTCGTTCCTTTAATATCCGGTGTATCGCGTAGCAGGTCGTGTCACAGAGCTGGGTGATCCGACGAATGTTAAGATCGGGAATTTCCGATAGTTTAGTGATTACCACGCAAGCTGAACAGTCGTCCGTGTTGATGCGAGGCGGTCCGGTTTTCTTCAGGCCGCACCCACTCCCAGTTTACTCGAACTTCTTCACTAGTTTAAACACGTACAGGGCGGTGACGGGACGCCTTCCTGCGTTCAGAGCATTGCATCTCCGTGCAGTTGATCCGGCGTTTAAACCGCATCCCCCGTAAAGCCGAATAATCAGCCCACACTGATTAACAGGCAAGTTACGTGATCCCGATTGCAGTTACGTACTTGAATGGATGATGAACAATGAAAAATGATTTTTCCGGTTAAATAGCAGTCGTTTGGCAAGTCCCGCAGCAGGGTGATGGTAAAGCTACAATTATCAAAAGATAGGTGAGTTATCTGTTTAGACGTTTATCTAGCAGATACAGTGCTGAATGATAGTAGTGTAAGTGGGAATTGAATGCGAACGACGAGGCAACATGTGGTGGTTCGGTTTCTGATCGCTCGCCATAACTTGATATCCTACGCGAAGAACAGGAAATCGGAAATTATTTAAATCGTCAGACTGTTTATAAAAATCAAGGATAGAGGGGTCCGAGCACCGAGCCTTTTGGTACGCCGCACTCCATCTCAATTGCGTCGGACAGGAATCCTCCTATTCTTACTTCCAACCGACGTTCGTGCAGGACATTGCTTATCCAACACAGCAGTGAGTCACCAACGCCATAGAGGTGAAGTTTATGGAGGAGAATTCGGTGGTCTAAGCGATCAAACGCTTTTAAGAAGTCCAGATCAATGACATCGACTCCTGCTCTACCATCAACTACTTCTGTCCAGCTACTGCGTGCAATTAACAGGTTCGTAGTGCATGAACCCTTTTGTCGGAAGGCGTGTTGCTCCGGTGCTATCAACTTGTGATTTTTCAGATACTGCATGCGGGCATCAACGATGGTAGACTCCATAACCCTGGAAAGCACAGGGAGTATCGTTATAGGACGGTAATTGGTTGGATCAGTACGACTACCTTCCTAATGAATAGGAGTGATGACCCCTCGCTGCCACTTTGTTAGAATAGGGTTCTCCTCCATACAGCTCTGATAAAATATAGCCAGAAATTCTGCCAGATCGCTGGCTGCTGCCTGTAAAGCCCTCGGTCGAATGTTTTCAACACCAGGAAAGCTAAGGAGACGCAGGGACAACAGTTTCTTTGACACACTTTGTGTAGCAAAAGTAATATTGGATAAGGCTGATGATGAGATAATAGAAACAGGGATAGCCGTTTGGCCCGTTACTCTTTGGAACGTTTGTGAGTAATGAAACCGTAAATGATCGGCTGCATCCGTTGCTGATCGCGTGCACCTGTCAGTCGTGATCAGTGCTGGAATTCCACGTTGCACGTTACGAATGCCATTAACATGCCTGTATAAGAGTTCGCGGTTCGTGCAGAATCTCTTTATTAACTCCTGCTGATGTGTCACTTTGTCCTCGCGGATCAAACACACACAGAAATGTGAGGTGGTGATTCAATGACTGTGACTTGACTTGCGCTGGCTAATATCGCCTTCACCTAATCCAAAATACCCGGTTCGTCGAGATACCATCACGCACGCACATTCACGCCGCAGTTGCGGTAGCACGTTTCAGTTGTCTAAACCGACTTGGCATGACTGTTTCGCTTTGCCCAGTGAGACACACTGATAGCCCTCGGTCGCTCCAGTGCCTACGGTTGCCAATGGCTTGCAGCACAGTGCGAAGTTAGCTGACAGCTAACGATCGCCGGTAGCGTAATGTGACTGCCAGTGCTCATCTCGCTCGACGACATAAAGACTTAATGTGGTCTACCGGTCTGTCCCTCACTATATTTACGCTTGCACTCAGCTGATCCCTGAACTAAAGCAAACGTCTGCCGAGGCTGCCATATGTCCTCCCAACTCAGGTTAGAGAGAAATTTATTTGTGTGCACGCACCGTACGCAGTAGGTCAGTTTGCGCACGTCTGCTAAACATTGGATAGTTACTGGATGGTGGGGACTGCAATCGCAAATGACCGGTATTCACCAGGAGCGAGCTACGATAGGCGCATGAACCGCGCTTCCCATTCTGCAATGCGGTCATCGGTCATCTTCCGCCGGATTGACTCTGTAATTACCACGCGCTGCTTTGCTGACTTTCTGGGTAGATTGTACGATTGGCTCGGTTGGTCACTCGTAAATCCTTCGGTCCAATATTACAACGAATTCTGGTTTTTGCGCACCAATACATTCTTCGTAGCGCGCGCTTCTTCGCTGGTGCTTTTGGAACGTGCTGGCTCCTGATTGAGCACCTACGCACTCAGTGGATGTTCGCCGGCTGTACTTGCAGAACTCGACGCGGGCATGTGCTGACAATTCGCTGCTCGGCTGACCAATCTGCTCCTGATAACGTTTAATTTCCAGTACGCTCGATTGCACCTGCCTGGTACTCCGCGAAATGCCAGGAGAAGTTTGATTGGCCATCTGTCTTCCGGAATCGTAGTATTTCCACCTATCAGCAGTCTCATCCCCCATCACACCTCATGTCCAGTGTAAGCCCGAAGGAATAAGACCGGGAAACATGTGCATGGGAGTCAAGTTTCATCAACGGAGCCGACCCACACTCCTCCAGCAGGCACAGCAGCAGCATTGCTGTGTATCTATGTAGGGAATCATGCGCACCAGATGTATACAAGGCGGTGGCTGTGCCGTAGTACGCTCCAAACTGGATGGGACCACTCCTTGGGCCCAGCACGGCCACGACGATCGTGCACCCAGCCCCCAGCAATGATTCACAGTCTCCTGGAGCCAGTAAGAGAGGTGGAAAGGTTTAGACAGCTAGGCACCTTGAGGGAGAGCAAACACGCAAAATTGACATAGAATATGCAGCAGAATAACAGAATTGAAGGTACCAAATAAAGTGGAATGAGTTTTATGCAGATTAAAATGACCTAGTTTAAGTGCAAGTTAGTTTAGCTCACCTACAGTGAAGAAGCATCATGAATGCAACATCAACCTCAGCATCACGCATTCTCTCTCTCTCTCTCTCTCTCTCTCTCTATATATATGTATATATATATATATATATATATATATATATATATATATATATATATATATATATATATATATATATATATATATATATATATATATATGGTTGGCGGCATCCGGTTTCGGGTTTGCTTGTCACTGTGGCAAGCCACAGGACGCCTGCGCCTACAGAGGGGCCATGGATGGCTTGCGCTGCACCACCCACAGCTCCAACCACATACCCCATATCCAGTGTAAACCCGAAGGAATAAGACCGGGAGGCATGCGGATGGGAACCACGTTTCATCAACGGAGCCGGCCCACACTCCTTCACAGGCAAACACAAGCACGCTGTATTTGGGGAATCAACCGCACACAAGGCGGTGGCTGGACCGTAGTCCGCTCCACACTGAGTGCATGGAACCGCTCTTTGAGCCTAGCACGGCCACAAGAACCGTGCACCCCGTCCCCCTCAGCAACGACCAACTGTCTCCTGGAGGCAGTATGAACGATGTAGTGGGTAATAGACAGGTAGGCACCTTGTCAACATACACATCAAGCGCAACCATACCAGGGATATCAAACAACAGCCATTCAATTTAAACGACAAGCTGAAATAAAATAAATCCAATAATGCATACAGATACGGTGGCATAACTCTTCGCTAAATTACCACATGAAGTAAGTTGGTCAGCAACAAATCCGTGATAAGTAAGAAATGTCCACAAGTTACTTAAAATGCTACAAACGCAACAAAATTACCGAAGATAAGCGCAATTAGTGTAAGCAACGTGGCCAGTTAATAAAACATTATTCAGGGAGGC